AAATATGCAAATGAAGTATTACATTTCTAGCACAATAATATAAACATGGATGAGATGAATTTAAGTAAAAAATATTGTTTAATTTATAAGAGAATAAATAATTTTTAATTGTTTTTACTGTAAACAGTTGTAAATAAGCTGGCAGGTTATGTAAATTTGTAAATTTAAATATGCAAATGAAGAATTGCATTTCTACCAAATTAATCTGAACCGCAATTGAATTAAGTCAAGGTAAAATATAAAAAATAACAATAAAAAAATATGTATGTATGTATGTATGTATGTATGTATGTATGTATGTATGTATGTATGTATGTATTTATGTATGTATATATATATATATGTGTGTGTGTGTGTGTGTGTGTGTGTGTGTGTGTATGTGTGTGTGTGTGTGTGTGTGTGTGTGTGTGTGTGTGTGTGTGTGTGTGTGTACATACATACATACATGCATACATACATACATACATATTTTTTATTATTGTTATTTTTACCTGTATGTATATTTTCAATATTCTTTTAACCTTTACATTAGATTGAAAAAATATACTATTAAATCTCAGTACTAAATAATTTGCCTGCAGTATATCACCCAAAGAAATGACAAAAAAAACCAAACAAACAAAAAGAGAAACTATTATTAAAAAGTGAATAATGTGTTTGCTGACTGCCGTTTCTTTACTTCATATTGCATAACTCACTTGAAAACAAAACAGCTTGACCTTTATGAAAAAAAAAAGTTGTTTCTCAGTTGTACAACCTGTCTTTCCTTCAGGGAAACAAATAACCGGATATCTTTGAATAGTGTTTTAATCAGAACAAATTCCTCAGACCCCAGTGGTATTCTTGGCAAAACAAAAAGTAAAATAAAAATCTTTGTTTGTCTCTCAGACGAATGAAAGTCTTACAGGTTTGGAATGGCATGACGGAGTCATTTTTTGGGTGTCAATCTCTGTATCGGTAATTGACACAGTATGCTAAACATGCAACATGTACAATAGACCTATTTAAATGATATGGACATGATAATGAGGGCTGTCAAAGCAAATATGTGTGATTTATGAAATATTTTTAAAGCCATTATTTTGAAAACACATATTAATAGATGTATTTTAGATGTCATTGTCATTTAGGTTTTTTGCTGATATAATTTATTTAAAATATTCATATTTTTAATTAATGTTTTTATATGTAGATTTGTTTATGCTTTACATTAATAAACAACAATATACAGTTGTAAATGTGCTTGACTTAATCATAATGAATCTCGCTTCAAACAGAACTCTTAAAATGACTGGTAATTTTTGATTGTTACATTTTATTAATGAAAACAAAATTTTCTTAATAAATTTAGATTGAAGCTGGAAAATTTTTATGAAATTAAAATAATGATACTCAATTAAAAACAAGTGTATTACCTTCTGCCTTTCAAATGATCAATCCATTTCATTCTTCCTTGGTATAATTTTTGTCAGCAATCAACTTTTAATTTTTATATATATTTTTAAATATATTTTAATTTATAAATTTGGTGAATATTATTTGTTGTATAATTGATGTATTTTTGAATATTCATATTTTAAATATAAAATGAATATGTGGTGTTTAACAGTAATATTTGGTTAAATGTTCTTAATGCCTTCATAAATCAGACATTTAAAATAAATTAAAGCTGTAATGGTAATTTAAAATGGGCATAATTTATACATATCGCTCAAAACATATTTAATATTTTTAATTTGAGTATTTTTAAATCCATTTCTTTGTTTTTTTTTTGTTTTTTTACATTAAACCTTATTTATTCAGTTTCTAACAATAAATATACATTCAATTTATTTTGCAAACAACGTAAAAATGTGTAAAGAACTGCAAACTTTCAAAATTAAGAAAACATTTTTACCAGACCATCTTTTATCTAACAGCTGTCAAATTTCCAGAAAAAAAAAACACCAAAAAAAAAAAAAAAAAAAAAACCTTTATGACAAATTCACTAGTGGTCTGAAAATGACAATAACATTGTTTATATATATATATATATATATATATATATATATATATATATATATATATATATATATATATATATATATATATATATATATATTAGAGCTGTGAACCTACATTAGTCTCACAGTTCGGTTCGGTTACGATTATCATGCCATCGATTCGGTTCAATTCGATATTTCGGTGCATCACGGTGCATTGACGATGCTTTTATATTTTCTTCACAGCAACAGCTCTTGTATTAAAATGTATGAATATATTTATATTTATATTTATATAGGCTATTATTTGTAATACAATTGTGTCATTTAATACAAACAGTTAGATATATAAACTGAAACTTTCAAAAAAACGAGCATTTAGCAAATAATATAAACAAATATAAATATTCAGTTCAATTTCTGATCCTTGTCTAGTTCTCTTACACCCCTTTGATTGGTTACACCCTCAACAAAAACGGTTGCGATTGGCTCTTGCGCGCTGCGCTCTTCAGATGAATGAGAAGCGGCAGGGGCGATCTCACAGCTGATCTATGATAGAAATGGTGGAGAAAACTCTGCAGACACGCGCTCGTTTCTGTATCCAAAAATAACGCTGTAAAACAGCCGAGAGGAGAATAAAAGCCACGCCAGCAGGTCAAATGGGCCACTGTGTGTGTGTGAGAAAGAGAGAGAGAGAGAGTAAGAGAGAGACAGAGCGAGCGAGAGAGAGAGAGACAGAGAAATGGAGTAGGCTACTTTCATTCTCAAACACACACAGTGAAATTGTGCACAGTTCATGAGTATTAAGTAGTTAGAGCGTTGTAAATACTCGCGATCGTCTCCCTCGCGACAGAGCGCATATGAGGTAAATGACGTCAGTAATAACCGGTTATGATTATTACTGAACCGATACCGAATTAATTTTGACACCCCTAATATATATATATATATATATATATATATATATATATTATCCAACAGACCTTTCAAATAAAATTAATAATAATAGTAATTAAAAATGTAAATTTGCAATTTGCGTAAAGCAATTAAATATGATACATTTTTATATATTGTATATTTGTTTACCTTCTAACAATAAATAACCATTTGACTATTTGAATTTGACTATTCTTATGCACAATTTGCAACTTATTTTTCAAACAATGTAAAAATGTGTAAAAATGTGTAATGACTACAAACTTTCAAATAAAAAACATTTTTTGGTCACTTTAGTAAATCTGTTAAAATGCATGTATTACTTTAATTAATTATTTTTTTTTAATGAAACCAGCATACATGTGTTTATAAAACAACAGACCCACATCCACCATATTTAATTATATGTTTTAAAGTAAAAATGTATCCGCCATACCATCTTTTATCTAACAGCTGTAAAATTCCTAGAACAGCAACAACAAAAAACTTGACACATTTACAAGCTCTCCAATTCTGCGGTTTGTGACATATGTTCTCTATTTGCTTAAGAATAAAATATAATGTGTTCATTTGTAAGTACAAGCATTATGATGCTGTTATATTGTCATTCTGGCAACATATAATGAGTGGCAGAAATGGTCTGAAAATGACAATAACATTGTTTATCGCAATATATTTTTGAATATTCATAATGGATTCATCCAACAGACCTTTAAAATAAAATTAATTTTTAGGGTAATTTAAAATGTACATAATTTATACAATTTGAATAAAGCATTTAAATGTTAGATACGTTTTATATAATGTATATTTGTTTAATTTCTAACAATGAATAACCATTTGACTGTTTGAATTGGACTATTCTTATTCACAATTTACAACTCATTTTGCAAACAATGTAAAAATGCAAATGACTACAAACTTTCAAATTTAGGAAAACATTTTTTGTTCACTAATGTTTATCTGTTAAAATGTATGTTAATGAATTTCTTGAAATGAAACCAACATGCATTTGTTTAGAAAACAGCAGACCCACATCCACCATATTTAATTATATGCTTAAAAATAAAAATGTATCCGCCATACCATCTTTTATCTAACAGCTGTAAAATTCCTAGAACAGCAACGACAGAAAACTTGACACATTTACAAGCTCTCCAATTCTGCGGTTTGTAAAATATGTTCTCTATTGGCTTAAGAATAAAATATAATGTGATCATTTGTAAGTACAAGCATTGTGATGCTGTTAAATTGTCATTCTGGCATTATATAATAAGTGGCAGAAAATGGTCTTAAAATGACAACAACATTGTTTATCCCAATATATTTTGGTGCAATATATTTTACAACTAAAAAATAGATATGGTGACAGGCCTAGTTGGTGGTTATTCTGCTGTGGTGACCCCTGATAAATAAGGGACCAAGCCAAAGGAAAATGACTGAATGAATGAATCTTGTAAATGTAAAATTGATGTATGGTGTTTTACAGTAATCATTCACAATGGCTTCATCCAACAGACATTTAAAAAAAAAAGGATTATTATGTTCATTTAAAATGTGCATAATTTATACAATTTGCATAAAGCATTTAAACATAAGAGATGTTTTTATATTTTGTGACTTGTGTATTTTAAATGCATATCTTATGTAATTATTTATTTATTTTTAATATTAAACAATATCTATTTACTTTCTAGCAATGAATAAATATTTTTACATTTGACTATTCTTATACAAAAATTGCATTTTTCTTTCACAAACAACTGCAAAAAAAACTTTGTAAATTATTAAAAATTTTCATTTTTGGTCACTTTTTTTTAATCGGTCAAAATTAATGTATTCAAGAAAATTACTCCGTTCTTAAATATAAACCAATGTACATGTGTTTACAAAAACAACAGACCCACAGCCACCATATTTAATTATATATATAAAATATAAGTATAAAAGTAAAAATGTATCCACTATACGGTCTTTTATCTAACAGCTGTAAAATTCCTAAAACAGAAACAACAACAACAAAAAACCTCCAAAGCTCTCCAATTACGCGGTTTGTGAAATATGTTCTCTATTTCCTTCTAGTTTCACCATCATCATCATCATCATCATTGTCGTCATCCTCCCAGTCCAGAAACCCTCTGCTGCCCCTGAACAGACCAGTTTCTTCTGAGATCCAGAGTCTGCTGTCCACCTATTATAATGACAGGTGAAGATAAGCACATAAACGCACACACACACACACACACACACACACACACACACGCACACACGCAAACTCATGTCTGGTGCCCTTATATGCACTGAAGGCATGCATGCTGTAGAACAGCATCTTCTAGTACTTGCACCAGATGCCCTCAGATCAGATGATCATGCATTGTACGCAATGTTCCAGTGACACCTGAATGACTTTTAGGCATCCCAGTTAATTGTAGTGCATTGAAGTGGCCTTGCTACATGCAAAATCACTGACATTCAAACACACTTGTGTAGGATTTCAACAAACTTCGTCAATCCTTTTATGGTGGGATATTGGACTATCATATTAATATGTTAGTTTTAAGTGAAATATGCATTTTTGCTCCTTTTAATTTGAGTTGTTTTGGAAAATTTTGAGATAACCAAAATAAAATAGTATATGCATTTTATTTATTTGTAATTTGATTATTTTATTTGTGATATTGTTTTGCTATACATTTGAAGTAAAGAGGATTTATCCCCCAACGCATTTATAAACATGATAGTTTTAATAACTTATTTCTAATAACTGATTTATTTTAACATTGACATGATGGCAGAAGATACTATTTAAAGATATTAGTGTTCAGCTTGAAGTGCAATTTAAGGTCTTAACTAAGTTAACTAGGCAACTTAGGGTAATTAGGCATTGTATAACGGTGGTTTGTTTTGTAGGCAGTCAACAAAAAAAATTGGGGGCTTATAATATTGACCCTAAAATGTTTTTTAAAAAATTAAAAAACATTTTTTTCCTGCTGAAATAAAACAAATAAGACTTTCTCTTGAAGAAAAAATATTTTTGGAAATACTGTGAAAAATTTCTTGCTCTGTTAAACATCATTTGGGAAATATTTGGAAAAGAATCACAGGAGAGCTAATAATTTTGACTTTAATTGTAGATGCTGTAAATGCTTTACCTCGCTTTTAAAGTGTTTTAAAGAAGCATTAACATTAGTGGTTGTAGTCTTAGTGATTTGGCAGACCTGTATTTGCTGAATCATTAAGCGGTTTGCATTTCAGTTTCAGTTATAGGGCTGCAGGATTATGACAAAAATCATAATTATTGATTATTCCCTTGAAATTATAGGTCACACTTTATTTTGATGGTCTGTTTGTTGAATTTAAGTTACATTGCATCTACATGCCAACTAATTCTTATTAGATTATAAGTAGACTGTTAGGTTGGGGTTAGTGTAAGCTCACAGGTATTCAAGTTTCTTATGGTCAGTTAAATGTCTGTTGAAGGAGCAGTATCAACAGATATAAAGCAGACAGTCTACTAATACTCCAATAGAGCATCAAAATAAAGTCTTACCTAATTATAATTGTGATTATTGGTTAAGATTATCATAATGTACATCTATTGATGTTTTAAGTAGCTTTATATCATGGTTTAAAGCAATTGGGTGCCATAATATATTAAAATAGACTGCAAAAAAATGCTGGGTTCCACACAATTCCTTCATGTTGTGCCAACATAATTTGAGTTAATTTTATTGTTTCTTACAAATTTAAGTGGATTGAACATAAAACTATTAAGTTATCCTCAAAAAATTTGCAGAATCTTTGAAACGTTTGGTTTTAATCTTCAATTAGGGCCGCAGGATTATGACAAAATTGATCATTGTCGATCATTCAATTTGCAATTGTATTTGTGATTATTAATTTATGATTATCACAATGTACATCTATTGATATTTTTTATTGCTTTTTATCATGGTTTGAAGAGATTACTTGCCGTGATATACTATAATCCACTGTAAAAAAGGCTGGGTTCCACAATTCATTCATGAACATAAATCGATTAAGGTAACTTCATCGTTTCTTACAGATTTTAGTGGATTGAACTTAAAACAATTAGGTTATTCTCAAAAAACCTAAGAATTGTGTCGTTTACACTAATTAAGTAGTGAACAAGCAGTGAACGTAATTTATTGTGTTTCTCATTGCCACACGTCATTGTTACATTGGTTTAGTTTCTTTTAATAATTTTACTTTTACTGAAAATAAATGACAGAACAATGAATAAATAAATGCATAAATAAATAAATAAAAATAAGAAGAAATAAAAATAGTATTTGTGTAATGTAGATCTAAGATATAAATTAGCTAGATGGTCAAATGAAGTGTTGTTATTTGTTTGCTGAAAATCAGAACTGAATTTAGAAATAGTTTTGAAACAAAAATTTGTGCTTAAAAAAAACTAAATAAAATATGTAGGCTAATGGATGTCTTCAGTGGAGTGCGCACAACACCATTTTCTTATTCACGAAAGTAAAGGAGTAAAGTTAAGAGTAAAAGTAAAGAGAAAGTAAATAGGCAGAATGGAGGAGGCTTATTCTTTATCCTCACCTGCAGATGGTCTGTTTAACTGTTTTCTCGCTTGTGAAGTGTTCAGTTTTTCCACTTACAAAGTCCGCCAACTGTCACTTAAAGGGAATGAGAGATGAGACTCTTATTGGTTTATTGCACGTTATTCTCAAAACACACCCATGACTCATTAAGGGGCCGGTCACACTGAACGTGCATTTACATTCCAAAAATGCGAGGCGTACCTTACTGCCTTTTTTTTTGTTGACAAGAAAAAAAGAAGCGCAGTGCGGTTTTTTTATTTTTATTATTATTTTTTTGTTTTTCGCTAGGCAATGACGGAACTAGCTGGGTATGGTGCGAGAGTGTTACTGTTGATATTAATATAATTTCGATATTTATTAATATTGTGATATTTAAGATTTGTGAGTCATACAGCTCTGGATAACTTAAAACAGCAACCACGAGTCTCTCCTCTCTCTTCAAATGTCTCTGTTGTTGTCTTGACAACACAAACACTGCATGTACCTCAACGGAAACCCCGCCTTTGCTTTCATTTAATTGGAGAATGGAAAAGATGCGAGTGACGTAGCTCGCTTTTTCCCTCTCAGAGTTGACTTTTTTTCAACTGCAAGCGTTCAGCGTGCAAAAGCAAAATTGCGATGCACGGCAGGTGGTTAAAACGCAAGACGTGCAGAGCCCATAAGCAGCGCCCGAAACCCTCACGGCCATTAGTAAATCATTCAAAAAAAGCCGTCTCTCAATGCAAAAATTGCATTTGGTGTGATCGACCCCTAAGAGAATAAGCACAACCCTGTTAGACCATGAGCCGGGGCGCAAAAGGTATTTTCCCGTCCTTAAAATAGCAAAAGTGGATTCGGAAATGCCTTTAATGCTATTGCGCCATGTGCTTTAGGCTTTGTGCCTAGATCGTTAAAATAGATCTAAAGTCTAAATATGATTTCCTTTGTGATGCATAAAGTCTGGTTTTGCAAGTAACAAACATACACAATGTAAACACACTCACACAAACAGTACACTTTAGTCACAACAACACAAAGCAGATCAATGTGCTCAAGTCCTAATGAACAAAATATAATGGCGGCGATTTGAGTTCAAAACTGAGTGCCGAATGCTATTTGTCAGACAGACTCTGCATTGTTATTATAGACTGTGGCTTTCGTGAGTCATATGTACTTTAGCTCTGTGATATAAACAAAACGCTTTTGGCTGCTTTTTAAAAGGGGAGGAGCTACTTGATATGTTCCGCGCTGTGTTTTTGTTTCAGTTGAAATAGCTTCACGTTGAGCAAAGTAAAATATTCAAGCACTTCAGAGGACTTTCAGAGTAATATGTAGACGGTTGTGTTGTAGGTGTGGTGCCACTGTCAGATACTGGCACACATCTGTCAGCAAACTGATTCTGGCTTGCCTGTATACTTGAGTGATGAAACACAAATGTTTTATGGGTAGATCCTCATACTTCATGTATGGATGTAAACAAACATGTCTGACTTACAGAGTACATGCATGTGATTGATGGTTTGTGCTTCACTGCTACATTGTGTAATAACAGGCCTGTATTTAGCATCAGAAGAAAAAGATAGATGTTTAACATGGAATTATAAAAAACAATTTAATAGAATCTAAACGCATTTACATTCATTTCATTTTATTCTTTGATTGTTCCTTTATTGAATGTATTTATTTGTATTTTACTTTATAAAATTGTTTCTATTTAATCATTTTTAATAATTTTAAAATTAGTTTATAATATGGGAGTGGTGTTTATAAGACATTAATAAATGACATAACACTGACTCAGAGTGTGTTAAGTGCTACGTTGGAAATTATTATTATCATATTTTTGTGTTCAATTAATAAAATCATAAAACAATTATGCAAAATCTGAAATCACTCACTAAGGGGAACTACACCCGGTTGTTCTGAGAAATATGTGATTTCTTTCCTTTATGTAATTTCCTTGTCCATATTAGAACTAACAAAAGCTAAATGTTATTGAATTATTAATACTTTGTTTTTTGTTTTTAATCCTTTGCTACAGATTTAACCAATGCTTTGCTTTCTTTTTAAGATAATTTTTGGTTAGTAAATATAGCCCCAGTGAATTTTGCCGTGTCTTGTTTTTGTATATTTATTTTATTTGTTCATTTTATGAGACATAAGGTGGCGTTTAACTTCTATTTGGATTCAAAATAATAGTTTAAATCTAGTAGTGCATGCGTGTGATTAATGGATTGTGTTTTACTGCTAAATTGTTTGTAATAACAGGCCTGTATTCAGTATAAGAAGAAAAACAACAACAACAGATGTTTAACTTGCAGATTTTTAAAACAGATTTAATTTAAACACATTTACATTCATTTAAATGTATTATTTTACTATTTTATGTAATGTTTATATTTGTATTTTACTTTATTAAAATGATTATTTTATTTATTTTTTCATCATTTTAAAAACAGTTTATAATATGGGAGTGGTGTTTATAAAACATTAATAAATGATATAACACTGACTCAGATTGTGTTAACTCCTCTTTTGGAAATTACTATTATCAAGTTTTTGTGTTCAATCAATATAATTATTAAATAATTATGCAAAATCTGAAATCACTCATAAAGGGAACTACACCCGGGCTGCC